TGGCAAGGAAAGAGCAATTTGATGCGTACCTAAAAGAACGCGTGTGGGTTTTGCTGGGTTTTTCTGAGTCGACATGAATCGACGGGGCTTTGCGGACTGGCCAGGGAAGGGTTAAGGGCCAACGCGCTTGTGTGTGTGTGTGTGAGATGTCGGCGTTTGGGGCGGGGGAGCTCAGTTTTTATCATCTGTAAATGAGGAGTGTGGGTCTGTCTCGGTTTGGTGGGGTATCTGGTTTTACACAAAAAGGTAAAAATCCAGCCTTCGCCTCAGATGTTTTAGAGGTGCATGTGGTGTTACACGTTTTGTCTTGGGAGAACCATAAACCTCAGTGTGTTTTATTGGGATTTTACGGGACAGACCAGTTTAAAGTACGGCATAATTGTGAAGTGGCAGTAAAATGCTTCAAGGATTTCACCTTTACTTAGAAATAATAATCTAAAGAACATAACATGCATTTATTTTCAACCCTTCAATGATTAATAAACAGATGAAAGATGATTATTTGATGGGCTCGGTGAGGAAAGCATTAATCAGAGAAACAACCGACACCAAGTGAGCTTAAATATTATTTTATCAATCACATCAGTGCAGCTTTTATCTGTTTACTGTCAAATCATATCAATCAGTCCCTCCAGACTTTTGAGAATTTTTGTGAAAATTTACAGAGCTAATCATAAAAAGCCACATTTACTGTAATAAATAAGCACAAATATTTCCAAATTAATACCACAAAAAAATCACAAACAGTATCCCTAAATCCTGGAGGGTCTAGAAAGATGTTCAATAATATTTAATTTTAAGAATTCATTGATATTTTAACAGTTTGTGAACAGGTTTTATCTATTTGTCCTGGCACAACCGGCCCTTTAAGAGCGTCAGTGATCTCGATTTGGCCCCAAATGAAAATGAGTTTGAAATCCTAGTGTCGACCCAGAAGGACTGAGGCCACAAAAACAAAACAAAAAAACATAAAAACCATGTATCACTTTCATTTTATTTTATACTCTCATTGCATTTCATGATTATTAGATTGCTTTACATAGATGCTACAAACAACTCAAACCAAAACAGGCGGATTATATTAAAAACTAATATGTTAAAAAAGCTAATTTCTTTTAAACATTTATCTATATAATGGGAATAGAAAACCTTCAGATAGAGTTCAGCTGTTTTTATTTTTCTCTGGGGGTTAAGGTTCCCATCCCTCATCCCACATATGCTCCACTCCTCTGCTGTTATGGGACAGTGAAAGTATGAAGCTGAAGCTAAAGATTTCCCACACGTGAAAGCTCTCAGCTTTTATTGTGGAATCCCAGAAACACAACCGCCGGCTTCTTCTCCAAATACGGTGGGATTTCATGTAGCTTCCTTCCGCATGTGTGCAGCTTACCGCGACTCTAGTAGGTGTTTATGACTGTTTGGATGTGGGTGCTTAAAGTTACCAGGTATCTGCTGATTCACTGATCCTCTGGGTTTTATTATGCACACGTTTTATAGAGGCTTTCAGTGCTCTTTAAAAAATGTTCACTTTTTTTTTTTTTTCCAACCTGAAACCATCAAAATTCAGTGTTTTATTGTAAATTTGTGTGATAGATCAACACAAAGTACCTGTGATGTGAGATAAAGCAACATATGGTTTTAGGATTTTTGTGAATTTACAAATGCAGAACTGGGAATTTGTGAGCTGGCATTTTTTTATTTATAGCGACACTTATTCAGTGTATGTCTAGAGAATGAAATGTCTTTACAAAATAGATGCAGCTCAGTCAAACTGGAATGGAAAATCTCATCACAGACTCGCTATTGAATTTAAGTGTGGACTTTGACTAGGCCATTTAAAGACATGAATCCATTTTGATCTAAACTTTGGCAATGTGGCTCTAGCTGTACTTTTAAAGTCGTGAACCTCCAGACTTTTACAGGTTTAGCCAAGCTTTTCCCACCACCGTGTTTTACTATGGAGATGCTGTGTTCAGATGGATTTTATTTAGAGGTGTCAAAGTAAAAGAGGGTGAATACCCTCCACGCTTTTTGGTTTTCATTTGTAAAACAAAAAATAGTTGAAACTGCTGAAAACAGTTACATTATTTTAATTTTTTTCCATATTTACGAAGGACTACGTATGCTCACTGAAATTTGTGCTCTTCCTACCTTTACCCCGGGGCTTCTGTCACCGGCGTCCAATGAAGAACTAACACAACAGAGCTGAGTTGGATTTATTTTGGTGTAATCATTGGGATTAAGTCAGTGCAGAAACACATTAATTCCTAATCCTTCCCATGTCCCCTTTCCCTATCCCATCCTCTGCCTTGTTACCCTCTGTGTCTCCCCCCCGTCTCTCCGCCATGCTCTACAGGACCAAACGTTTTTAATTTGTAAGTGAGGGGTGGGGAATGTGTGTGTGTGCGCTGGGAGGGGTTGGAGGGGCTGAAGCTGTCTGTTTTGAGCTTTGAGTCTCTGCCAAGCTCTCGTTGGTATTGTGCTGCTTACAGCTGGCCTTGCCCTTCTTCCCTTCTCTCTTTCTGCTCTCTGTTCTCAGCAACTCCCTTTTTGTCTTTCAGTCTGTGCAGCACTGTCTGCTTTTCTCCATGCTCTCTGCTATAGGGAGTTTGGGAGAAGGGGGTCAGTTGTCAGGGGGCCAGCTTTTGGGGTTTTCCCCCCTACACACGGACGCACACACACAAACACACGCACACGATCACGCACAGAGAGGAGGGTGTCGGAGCATGGAGGCCGGCAGAAAGAAGAGGCGAAGAGAGAGGTGAAGGTTGCTGCATGACATACTCTTTCAAAGAAACCTCACAGGTTTGATTCCCCCTGTAGCTCCCCTTTTTCTCAATCTTTCCTATTGGATTCCTCTTTTAGCTTTTCAAATCCAAAGTGAACCCCCACAACAACAACAAAAACTACATATTTTGTTTAGTTTAGACGCATGCAGCGAGGGAATTGATCAGTGGGTGAAATACAGTGAGACAAGAAATAAAAGAAGCAGCCTCGGTGATAAGAAACTTGAGAGATGGAGAGATCGAGGGGAGACATACGATATAAGAGAGATAAAGAAGGGCGAAGTGAGAAATAGAGGCAGCAGAGAAACTCCAATAAAGACACAGATCAGATAAAGGATCCTCTAAGGACTTCCAAATGTCCTTTTGTCAAGGCGTACGGTGGCGATATTAAAAAGTGAAAAAAAGAGAAAAAGATGCTGAGCTATTCCTGCAAACTGAATCAGAAAAAAGAAAAAAAACACATCGAGCCTCATCCCCGACAGACGCCGTGACTAAAGTTTCCTCTTCCGACGACTCATCCCACCACTTGACAGCTTATTGTAGCCGCTGAAAAGATGAGAGGCACGCTGCTTTAGTTTTACCACACAATTAGTCAGGGATCAGTGAGTCATCCTGTGGGTTGGCTACATGGTCAGCTGATCCTGCTGTGTCAGGTGCCATCTTTGTTGGGTGGCGGATGTTGCCCACAGGCATTCAATACACTCAGCTCTTCATGTTTGGTGGTAAATTTCCTTGTGTGAAATTGAATATAACTGTTTTTGTGGTGATGGTTTGTGAATAATGTAAGCTGTAAAAAGTAAAGATCACATTTGTGGGAAAAAACATTAAGTGTGCTTTTAACCCGAGTGTTTTATGTATGGCAATATTACACATAATGATCGAGATCTCACCGGATTTTAAATCAGGTAAACGTCCCATTCCCAAATGTAAAAAAAATAAATAAATCACTGCAAGGTTGAACTACGATCAAACTCAGTTCACCTCCAATCAGTGACTGTGAAAAACCTTTGACCTAACAGCATTGCTGTAAAGCTCAGCTACAGTTATAGTGAAAAGCAGCTCTAAAGTATGTAAATACTGTTCATGTTAGACTTGCACATATTTATTTGTAACTAATGGGATTCTTCATAGATGTTCATATTCAGCTCTGAGTCTTGGCAGAAGTAAATACGGCCTAGAGGGTTAAAAATGAGTTTCCTTGATAAACTCGAGAACTATGCAGATATTTTTAATTCATCTCATCTGAGCTTTGAGTAGTTTGGCCTTCTCCTGCTTTCTCCGCGCTCCTCTAACGTGAAGGAGGAAACATGACCCGGCCGTGACTCCCTCAGGCTTACACTTCACTTTAATCGCCTGGGAAAACAGGAAACCGTGGTCTTGGAAAACGAAATGTTTATGCTTTGCTCAAATTTACATGGAAGCCGTCCACCTTCCCTCCTCTGACTTTTATTTGATTCTCTTAATGTTCATTTTCTTAATCTTTAGTGCTTTTCTGATTGGCTCTTGTTGTTTTTGTTCAGGTCGTCTGCAGACCTGGATTTCCGCAGTTTCAATAACTTCAGAGAGGAAATCTAAAACGCAAACATTTGAGGCATTAATTCTGAGGTGTGAAAGACTCGCATTTTTTTTTCTCTCATCTTGAACACGTCAGCTCAAGATTTGCCAACGAGCATCAAAATGAATACTCAGCGAACGTATTTTACACCTCTGAAAGTGCGGCAGCTACCCTGGTCATAGCCGGCACGCCCCCTGCAGAGCGCTTCCTCTTTTTCTGTCACTCCACCCGGCATTTGTCACTTCTTCTTTCACCACTATCTGCTTCTGATTTACTAAAACTGACTGATCGCTAACTCATTCCTCCCTTTTTGTCGTTGTGCAAGCCATTTTCTTTTTACTCCCGGCGTCTAATGACCGTCCTCGTGGGCAGGATCTCATCCCACATCCCGAGGCTACCTGTAACACTAACTGCCCAACTTCCTGAGCGCAGCCATCAATCACGTCGCTCCCTTCCTCTCCACAGCTATCGCTCAAACCTCAAACTCCTAGTCTGCATTTCACGGATCACAGACTTCCTGCATACTTTCATGCAGCGTTTGGTGGGTGGGTGCATGTGGATGTCTTTACGTGACTGATGAACAGAGACACAGAAGGGTAATATAATCTCTGGACATCTTGAGTTCCTGAACTTTGGCTTTTTATCTTTTGAAGGGAGGAAAATGGCAAACAGTTGGATGCACCTGGAGCCCTGAAGAGCCACCTGCAGCAATACATGACGCTCGGGTTTATTTCTAAATCTGAGCTAATGCCTCTCTTGGAGCACAAAACTTGCTCTGTAAGTCTTTCTGGAATCCTTTTTTTAACAGTGGTGACAGCTCCATGCTAAATTAAGGCCAAAGGACTTAATCATTGTGTTTTATTTATGCGGAGGGGGATTTCTGTCAACTTATTTCTATATCTTGATCCCACGCATGATGGAAATAAGACACAACGCAGATGTAATATCCTTTAGGACTAAGAGACTTTGTGAAAAATCCTCAAACAAAATGGTGCAACAATAAACCTGTGCAAAATATGAGTCGGTGATGTGCATCAACCCTCTCAAGTAATTGTAGATTTCGTGAAAATGTGAATTTTTCGGTTAAGGTGTAGTTTTACACATAGGAGTGAAGTCGTGCTAAAAACAGTGCCTCGCTAAAATATCCATACTTTTTGAGCTTCTGAAGCAAAGTGACCACAAACTTCTATGTATTTTATGCCAGGGACCAACACAAAGCAAACTGTGAATGTGAATTGGAATGAAAAACTTTGCAGAATCACCATTAATGACTGTACTGCTCTGACACATTAACATGCTTTGTGTTAAACTGTTCCAGACTCAAAGAGAGGCGATGACTCGAATGGACCAACCCAGGCTTAGAAGCCAATGTGCCTTCGACCTGGGAGACACAGTGAGCGTGGAGGTTGAGTAACTCAGAGAAATACTCCAGACACCACAAAGGGACTACCTTGATTCCACAGGAGGAGACACTAATGTATCTGAAGGAGAGCACAGAAAGCTTGGCTTTAACACAAAGGTTAATCATTGGCTGAGGAGCAGTCATCCAGCAGACCCTTATATCCACAGAAGAGATGATGATGGAATTGCAGGGAGGCGACAGGATGTCATCCACACTTGCTTCACTCCAAAAATCATGACATGGTGGAAGTTAACCTTCAACTCCAGCCTTGAGGCATTTGCAGCCTTTAAAAGGTCTGATTCCATGATCGGCCTGCATTTAGCTCCATCAACAGCGACCAGCTTCTCCTGCCTCTGTCAAGTTTTTTAATGTGTTCAGAGTAACATAGTGTTCTTTTTCTGACCTGAATGACACATGGTAGTTTTCATGTAGACCAAATAGTTGCATGGTTTTTCTCATCTGTGTCCTGGCTGGAGGCAAACTGTTCACTTAGCTTCTCGTGGTTTTCTTTCGGGAATAACTGCCCTTATTTTTTGAAGTGCACCACTAATATTTGTTCTCGTGACGGATTCTTCCACCTATAAATATCAGTCACTACACATCTTTTGGCCACATCTCTGATTGGTAGGTTTGATGCTGTACTGTACTCTTCCCGATTTCTGAAGATGGATTTAACACAGATTTTGAGAGGTTTGTTGTTTTACAACCGAACAATTTTTTAAACTTTGATCAAAATCACGTCTGACCTGTTTGCGATGTTCATGGTTGTCCACTAAAGATCTCTAAAAAACCTCTAAGGCCTTATGTTGGTTGCATCGGATTAAACTTAGGTGTATCAGAGAAAAGGGGTTGAATACATATGCTTATTCCATGTATCATTTTCCTCCCAGGCCTTGACCTTTTTGACCCTGCAAGAATAAGTGAATATAGACAATCATAGAATGGATGAATGCTGGTTGGCTACATAGATCTATGCACTGAAAAGAGGTGAGAAAAATGAATCAAGGCACAGGTTATAACATACCAATATTCAACAGCTTTTTTTCTTGAAGAAAAGATGTTACCTCATGCGAAATCAGCAGCTGAACTTCTTTATTCGGGGCAGTAAATTTTGATGAGTTTTTTTTTTCCCACTGTTGAACTATAACCACTAATTAATTTGTATAAAAGAAATGAGAGCTGATCCTGGTTGCACAAAACTGTTTAAAACTGATGGGTTATGATCTTCAGCACTGAGATCATTACCTCTGGCAGGTATTTTCAGCCTCGTCGCTGCTGTCAAGTGAATGGTGCGAAAACAAGATAGTCCTGTGACTCTCTGAGATTTGCATACAAATACAGGAACTTTTTTTTTTTTTTAGCTCTGTGTGGGGGAGGAGCAGATGAGGGTTAAGTGGTTGCACCAAGTTGGTTTATGTAGCAGGTCTTGATTTTAGTCTGTGGCAAAGGGAAAAGCTATCATTAGGAGCTTAACTGGCTCATGGCCTCTGCGCACTGACGGCATACCAGTCTGCTACGGTCTGCTGCAAAGAAGCAGCTCGCTAAGTTTGTTTCTGGGCAGAAAATACAACCTCAACATCTTCTATTAGTTCTCCTTTGGAAATATTGTATGATTACTTGTTTTCAGCTTTGCAAATAAAAAAGAAATACTCCATCAGTTGAATTAAAACCTGCTGCAAGTCACAGAAACACAGGATTTCTGTGAACCTGCACTGCATAAAAAAACTTGTTAAATGTTTGCAAATGCAACAAATAAAATTGACTCATAATATTATAATACTTAATACTTAAAATCTAGTTTGAAATGTATGAATTTTTCAAGTTTCACACATTGCAATAAAAATGTTTTATTTGTCTGTTTATGTCTTAGCAATACTATGACAGTTTGAACAGTCACAAAATGAATCTTATTATTCTTATTTAAACTATCTTGGGTTGCAACTGGGATGAATTGGTGAAATGCAAAAATATGAGACAATAAGGCCCAAAGGAATTAAAACACTGAAGGAAAAACAAAATACAGAGTGAGTCAAATTTAAAGGCACACTGCCAAAAAATACAACTAAAATACAAGAGTATGAGTGTTGACAGAGTTTGGTGGAAAAAAAAACAAACATCTGAAGATCTGATGTAGATTAAACTATATACATAAAACTAATCACAATAAAGGTTAAACTGTGAGGTCATGACGGAACCAAAACCAGAAGTAACATTGAACCACCGTTGCTTGAAAAAAGAAACTGAAATGAACAATAACACATTAGTGGAGTTTTAACAGTAGGTAAAATAAAAAGAACAAACACGGCAGTCTTCAAGTTTTTGAATTTGGGTAAGCTACAAATCTACTTATATTTGTGTAAATAACTTAGTTGCACAGCAAAGCTGCGGCCATGAGTATCACATCGAAACTTGGTAGTTTTGTCAGAACTTGTGTAATTTCCCTAAGGGAGGTTTCTGTAATCCCCACCATCGGTTTCAGTGACAAATAAAAAACTGATGAGTTTGATCAGTTTTTTTTTTTTGTTTAACGGATGCAAGTTAGCTTTTTTTTGTACAGACTAGTTCACATCCCCAATAGAGTCATCCTGAATAATGATTTGAACCTGGAATGCATATCTTGGCAAATCAAGTCAAAAGTAATTAGTCACGGATCCTTGCAACATGATCTCACCAAGGACTTTTTGCCTGAAGCTATTTTCTGAGCTAATCTGCTAACTCTTGTAAAATGTTAAGTACAAACAATAAGAATGCTTGCACACGCTACTTCCACTCCATCCTTTTTGACAGCATTCTGATTTGATGTGAATACACTTTGCTTTTGAACTGCAGTTTAAAAAAATGAATGTTTACCTCAGTCCATCAGGACTGTCTTGCAGCTTGGATGTGTGGGTGCCGTTCTCGTCCTTTAGAGAAAAGCGCTACGCATGGTCATTAAATGTAAGGCGGCCTGAACATGCTAACATTTTATTTTGGCTGTGGAGCATAGATGGTACAATTTGTTTGCAAGTTTGCGTGCTAAAGGAAGTGGACCAGTAGGTTGTTTCCTGTCCCCTTAGCGCTTCTAGTCCTTTTGTGTTTTCTATTTGAAGAGAGGTCGAACCTCATCGTTGCACCTTTCATGGTTTCACCACATGCACACTCTGAACCCAATATGGAGCGATTTGAATTTAAATAATAATGTCTAGTATTGTGAGCTGGTGAGTAAAGATCCATTAGGAAGGGTTTCCTTATGTCTCCTTTAATTATCATTGTGTTCTGTCTTACCTGCTTGCTGGCCCCTTTCAAGTCTCTCATTGCTTAGTGAAGATTTTTTTCTCACTGAGTATTATATTTTATTGAAATCAGTTACATGGATATATTTGCCTAACTACATTTTCATTTTTTTAAAAAACACCACAAATTATTATAAGAACACTTTTAACTAAAAGATCCCACTTAATGTACATCAGGTGTGTATTCACATCAAATCAGAATAAAAAAAAATCTGTCATTTTCTAAATCATTAAAACATAACTGAGTTATTTTGGTGAAAATAATTTATAATAACATTTTTCCATCATGATCTTTAAAAGAAAAATATAGATGAACCTGAGGCACTGTGGTATTTCAGCTAACAGGCGACACAGGAAGACTGTCGGTCTGGACACATGTGGCTTATCCTTAAGACCAATTTAAGCCAATTCTGATTTCTGAAGAGCTATAATAAGATTATTTTCTCTCTTGCTAAAAAAGAGGAGTTGTGACAAAACAGGATTTACTCATCTTTAACAATAACAAGAGGTTTACAATGTTATTTCAAGTTTGTCGCTATCACTTCATATTTACAGATTATGTTGATCATGGTTTGAGTTACTGAAACAGCAGTCTTTGTGTGTGTTCGTTCAGAGTTTAACTCCCTATATTGACAGTGAAATTTCCAAAAGGCCGCTAACATTTGTATGTTCCTTGAGATCTGCTGAAAGTTTTGCTTTCTGTTCCTCCATGACTGCCTGAATACGCCAGTAACGTGTCCCTGCATGTTGTAGAAAGCTACTTTTAAGTAGCTTCGTGTATTTCCAGTTTTATTTGGCATTATTTTTAATTGCCTGACTGATCATGAAAACGAAAACCATTGATTTGGTTCACATAAAAACATTCCTTCCTTATACTGCGGCTAGCTTAACCTGTTAGAGTGTAGGTATGATGCGTTCACTGCTTGGAAAAGTACTAGAGCTGAAAATCTGTGGATTTAATTCATGTCTATAAGATCAAAATAAGCCTCGACATGCTTTTATCATAAGACGGCGACAAAAGTCACTTCTCACTTAAGTCTAACTTAGGTCTCAGAATTTCACTTTCTGCTGAAACAGATCTGTGCCCTTGAGCAAATTCTGTTGTTGATCCCTGACTGATCATAAAAATGAATTTTCTTCCAGGAAACCATGTTAACCATTTACTGTTTACTCTTTCCACAAATGTACGTGTACACCTAGCTTTGTGTTTCCACGTGCTGTTTGGCCAAATTCACTCAAGAACCAGTTTTAGACGGGTTATTTTTAACAACTCCGTTTTGACACCAACAATAAAACAACATAAAACTGCTTGCTTAATTACTTTTAGAAGTCAATAGCTGGAAACACTTGACATGAGAGTGAAATAAATTTAAAAAAATCACAGCCGTTCAGAAAATATAATATATTATTTGGAGCAGTTGACGGGAAAATGTTCCAGTTCAACAGGAAGAGGACAGCTGGCTTGTGAATCTAATAGATCAGCTTGAAAAGCAGCGTGAGTTTTCACCCCCAAAAACCTAAAACACATGTACAGTTTGTTAAGTGAACAGTTGCTTTAAATAACAGCAACGCTCCGGAAAAATATGCATTCCAGATTCTGAGAATTTGTTGCCCCCAGAAAAACAAAAACTCAGCATTTTTCAAAAAGACATAAATTTGCACAGCAACCTATAGCCTGTTTGTTTCAGAGACGTTCTCTATCTAGATTAACAGCAGATGAGTTATTTCCCTTAAGGACTCGGGATGAACAAAAGTGGCAGAGGGCGTCACTGTTACGCGAATTGCAGTTGATGACACGTACATTTGATGACCAGCAACGGTTTGAACTACGGGGCTGACACTTCAAAGAGATCGGCTTTCCTCGCTCGTTTATTTCCAGTTCCTCCCTGCAATGAGTTTTTAGTGGTGTGAGGTTGACTGAAGAAGGAGGGGAGGAAGGAGGACGCACGCGCACACACACGTACACACACACGCACACACACACACACACACACACGCACACACACACACGCACACATAGTGAGCATTTAGTCAGAGTGCTTGCACTTCAAACAAATGGGACTTCATCAGTGAACATCAGTAATGGTTCCAGGCTGCCCCAACAGCTCTAATCATTTCCAGAGGGAGACCCAGAGA